TTAACCAAAGTACACAATCTTACAAGTATCACAATTCAATGTTTGGATACAGCATATTGAAATAGAGTGGGTTCAAATTCCAGCTCCTTCCTTTACTACCTACGCCCTCATGGGCCTATTAATTACCCTCTCACAGCCTCCATTTCCTGCTTAATAAAATGAGGGTAGTGACATCTCTCCTGCAGGGTTGTTATAACAATGTAATGAGATGTGGAAGTCTCCAGAACAGTGGGCAACACATTCAGTAAATGTTTACTCTTTTTCTTTTCTACCTTGGTTCTTCCACATATTTGATTCTGTTATTAAGCCATTAATAAACGTGCCAGTCGAGTCAGGGGTACCTATAGCTCTGCAATACACTGAAAATACTCCCTGAAAATTAAAGAATGATCTCTTCATTAATACCCTTTGAGTATGACTCGTCAACCACTTAAAATGCACCTAGATGTCAGTGATTCCAGCCCATCTTTCTTTCAGCAAAAACAAAAAGCAATAACTGAGTGTCCACTTAGTGTCAGCCACGGTGTCAGGCACCTGCTACAGACATGAAGAAGATATGGTCCCTGCCCTGGAGGCATCTACTGCTTGGTTGGGGAGAGGAAGCTAGTAAGCAAACGGATGATCCCAATTTTCACACGTGTGGAATCTCCTGAGAAACTAGGCAAAGTGTTGCCCAAGACAAGTATTGAAAGATAAATAGAAATTAACCAGGTGACGGTGAGATCCCTTCGCATCCCAGGCCAAGAGTGTGCAGTGCATTGTTGCATGTGAACGAAGGATGAGTTGTATGGGGACAGAGGTGTGGAGGGGTTGCAAGGCTGGGTGAGTAATACAGGTCAGATTATGCAAGGCGTTGCATGTCAGGCTGTGTCTGAATTACTGCTTCCAGGCTAACGGTTCTCCCTCTAGCAGTGACACCTTTTATTTAGAGCAGGTCTTCTAAGTGACAACTCCGTTCTAGAAAACCAGCATTACTAAGACTGTTGGACTGGTGTCCCCCTTCCTGTCCATTACCACCAGCGGTGGAGGCCAGATGTAAGACGCGGCTACATTTCAGTTGATTTAGTGCTTTGCTGTGAATAATATAGCTTGTAATGTGGATTTTTTTGAATTTTCCATGTGTATCACTCTTGAAGCACTGGTTTTGTAGCCGAGGCAGGCATTCAGGGTTCTAACAGATGAGATGGCTACATCTGAGTTTCCGAAAGTTGCTTTGACGACAGTCTGGAGGACAGACTGAAACGGAGAATGTTTGGAAACCACTTGAAGGGCCCTTTCTATAAATAACAAGTGAGGGGCTCCCTTGAGGCCATGCCAGTGGGACACACGTGCACCAGACCTACTAAAAAGATACCACTTACCCAATTTCACCCAAGGAAACTGAGGCTCAGAAAAGTTAATAATCTGCCCATGACTCATGAGAGTCAGTGGGCAGACTCTCTCATGAGAGAGTCAGTGACAGAACTTGGACTTGGATCTGTGTCTAGACTGCTCATACCGAGGCCCCATCAGAACCTTTCCGGCCTCCTTCCCAGCCAGCTCTTCTCTCCCCTTGTGTCTTTGCTTGCTACCCTGTGGTCCTCCAGAGCTACCAGATGTGTGGAGTCATCTGGTATTTGTCTTCCTCCTTCTCAGCATTTTTCCTAACACAGAGTTGGCGTATATTTATCAATAGAATATTTGTTGAGACCCTTTTGAGGGATTCACCCAGCTTGCTGGAAAACACCTTCTTTGTCCTTATGGAAACTGGACATTCTGTCACATGCTAGACTGGCCGGATCGGCCAGGTGAGGTCTTCAGCTGTTGCTGTGATGCCCCAACCAGGCAGTCGCTGGTCACTATGACTGGTCCCTATTTTCCAAGGCTGGCAGTCTTATATGTAGGACCTGCCCCAGGGGCTGAGGTATCTGCCTTATAAGCCCCTTCTTCTCAGGGTTTCACACTTCCCATAGATCATTTCTTTTTTCTTTTAATACATTTATTTATTTATATTTTTTAATTTTGGCTGCGCTGGGTCTTCATTGCTGCACGCGGGCTTTCTCTAGTCATGGCAAGCAGGGCTACTCTTCATTGCGGTGTGTGGGCTTCTCACTGCAGTGGCTTCTCTTGCTGCGGAGCACAGGCTCTAGGCGCGCAGGCTCAGTAGTTGTGACACGTGGGCTTCAGTAGTTGTGGCTCGTGGGCTCTAGAGCGCAGGCTCAGTAGTTGTGGTGCACGGGCTTCGTTGCTCCGCGGCATGTGGGATCCTCCCGGACCAGGGCTTGAACCGTGGCTCCTGCATTAGCAGGCAGATTCTTAACCACTGTGCCACCAGGGAAGCCCCTCCCGGTAGATCTTTGAGAGAGGAGAAATCGCAGTCTCCTCTTTATCATAGACTACTTGGGAAGCTGAGTTTCTTATCTTTCTTTGCACAGTATTTCTCCTTTCTCTGTCCTCTCAGGCAGTTTGGAGCTGTCCACCTTAAGGAATTCTTGTGCTTTCTAGTTTCCAACTTTTATTTCCTCAAAAGACTTTTCCCACCAGACATGAATAGCTATTGGCTTCTTTTCATTCTTGGCTCTTGTCGTATCCCCAGCGCCCTGCCTTCACTGGAGCCAATAATTAAACTAGAAGTGGGGGGGAGGGGAGAAGGCAGGGGTGGGGCAAAACAGGAGCCAAGGAATTACAGTTTTACTTCTTCCACACCAACTTCCCTTAATACCCAGTGTAGAAACCCAAGCACGGTTGGAACCCGGTGTCGTTGTCTGATGGAAGGGCCGCCTTGGGAGGCGGGGTAGTCCGTCACCTTTCAGCCAGCTCTTGGATTTGTCATGCGAGACCATCCATTCTGTACTCCACCTTCTTGTTCTCACTGCCTTTCCTATTAAACTAGGTGGGAAATGGGCCCCCTAACCTGCTAATGTCTAATTAAGATGCTGCATTTTTATAAACATGTGATTTAATCTTATTCAGTGGTTGAAGTTTTTTTTTTTAAGTTGATATAGTTCATTTCCTTGAACATCATAGCTCATGATGTGTCGACTAGATTTACCATTTGTGTCACTAAAGACTTATGAGAAAAATACAAAGAGAAAAACAGCCCTTTGGAAACAATGGAAGGAAGAAAGTGAATTGAATTTAAATTAGACATAGCAATCAAGTGTAATGAGGGACTTCCCTGGTGGCGCAGGGGTTAAGAATCTGCCTGCCAGTGCTGGGGACTCGGGTTTGAGCCCTCATCTGGGAAGATCCTACATGCCACGGAGCAACTAAGCCCGTGCACTACAACTACTGAGCCTGCACTCTAGAGCCCGTGCGCCACAACTACTGAGCCCGTGTGCCACAACTACTGAGCCCACGCGCCTAGAGCCTGTGCTCCGCAACAAGAGAAGCCACTGCAGTGAGAAGCCCGCGCACTGCAATGAAGAGTAGCCCCCGCTCACCGCAACTAGAGAAAGCCTATGCACAGCAACAAAGCCCCAAACGCAGCCAAAAATAAATAAATAATTTTTAAAAAAGAAATAAAAAACTGAGATTTAGAAATTAGACACATTTAAAAAAAAATAAAATGTAAGGAAAGTTTTAAAGGAGACCTAGCATGCATTCATATGTCCTTAAGAGTTTTCTTTTGGATAAGATGTTCTAACGTAAAATTATTGCTAGACAGCATAGCCTCACACTCCGTTTCTTAACACGTCAAACACTGTTGGATGGTAAAATGCATTCAGTTTCCTATGTTTAGAAATTCCTTAAATGAAAGACATAAATTCCACTTGAAGTTCATCTGAAAAAAAATTATAAAATTTAACTGTGTGTTTCAGGCTCCATTGTTCTTGCTGGACTTCATTCAGAGCCGGTCATAAAAAGGATTCTAACTTGCTGTAGGAACCTTGGATAGACTCTAATAAGAAAATCACTAATTTTCTTTATTTTTGATAACACACATTCCCTGATTTTCTTACAATGAAACTCATGTGGCTTTTATTAAGAAGCAAATCTTTTTTTTTTTTTTGCTGTACGCGGGCCTCTCACTGTTGTGGCCTCTCCCGTTGCGGACGCGCAGGCTCAGCGGCCATGGCTCACGGGCCCAGCCACTCCGCGGCACGTGGGATCTTCCCAGACTCTTCCCGGACTGGGGCACGAACCCGCGTCCCCTGCATCGGCAGGCGGACTCTCAACCACTGTGCCACCAGGGAAGTCCCCAAATCATTTTTAATTAAAAAATATTTTTTATCTGAGTTGGCTCAACTAAAGAGGTGAAACCAAAAATATGATCATCATTGCTGCTGGAAACATTGACCTGCTGAAAAACCAGACTGGCGTTGCCTGCGTCTGCTGAGGGTCTGACATGGTCCTTGGGAGAGAACTTGGTCTGACTCGCCCTTGCCCATGTCCACCCCGATGTCATGCGTGGGTCTCTGGCCTCATGGTTCCACCTCTTCTGTTTCTCTGCATCTCCATCCGTGACATTTCAGTCAGCCCCTACCAGTCATGCTGTATAGCTTTGAAAGCAGGAGCTTCATGTATTGTCTCTTTCTTTCCTGGGTCTCTCACTTCAACATCAAATTAACCCTTTTACTCCTTTAAGACATGTGGGTTGCAAATGAACCTTCCTTTGACCGTTGGGGTTGTTGCTCTTAACCAGAAATAAAAAGAGTTAAATTTATTTTTAAAATTTTTTATTTTTTAAATTGCGGTAAATACACAGGACATGAAATTCACCATCTTCCCCATTCTAAAGTATACAGTTCAGTGGCATTCACGTACATTCGCATTACTGTGCTACCGTCACCACCGTCCATCCGCAGGGCAGTAGAATTCTCATTTCCTATTCTGTGCTGCTACCACCATCCAGTAACTCAGCTGCCCCGAAACAGTTAGCTGTTAGGTGAGAAATGAGACTTGAATTGCCCAGTAGACCTTTTGTCTCTTAGGACATAATGGCTAAGTTTTTAAGAGGTTCTGATGCATTTAATATGACACGTTAGCCAGAATAAATGTGCTCTTTTCTCTTTAAACAGCTCTGAGCAGCGGGTACCCTGTTCTACTTCTTACCACAGCTCTGGTTTGCACTCGGGTGACAGTGTCACAAAAGCAGGACCTCTGGGCCTTCCAGAAATAAGACAAGTGCCAACTGTTGTGATTGAATGTGATGACAATAAAGAAAATGTGCCTCATGAATCAGACTACGAAGACTCTTCTTGCCTGTACACAAGAGAAGGGGAAGAGGACGAGGACGACGACAGCTCGCTGTATACCAGTGGGTGCATCCAAACTCTTTGCTGAGGGTGGGAGGGGCGTGGCTGGCGGGAAGAGCTGCCCACCTCTGTGGGTTCTAATCTGAGGTCCGAGGTTGCTGTTTCTTCATTAGTAAGATGAAAGGGTAACTGTCCTCTGAACAGCCTCAGAGCTCTAAAAATTACAACATCGTGCTACCATCTCTTGCCTCTTTTAGATGTCTCTTTTTTCCTTTGATTGCTTCCCTTGGGCTGCAACACCCCATCAATTAAAAAAAAAAAAAAAAAGCAAGGAGGGGAGGCACCTTAAAATTCAATTCCAGTCTACAAAATATATAAAAATACTAACCATTGTATATGGAACAAATTCATTTTTAAGCATACCTCAACCACTGAACTTAAATTTCTGTGATCAACTTTTTAATGCGTGAACTTATATGATAGCAACCTTTTACCGACTGTGTGCCTGACAATATGCTAAGGTTTTATTCTCATCCACATCTTACAACACTCAGGGGCATAAACTACTGCCCTATTTTACAGGTGAGAGGAGAAAATGGAGAGGTAAGGGACTTGCCCAGAGACTCACGTCTACTAAGTGGCAGTGCTGAGGGTTGAAGCTGCCTGTGTCTCATTCCAAAACCCACATTCTAAAAGCAGTGGCAAAAGAAGGAAGATAAGTACTTACTAGATAAGATCCAAAGGAACCCCCCAAACTTGCTGCTTCCCAGTCTCTTCCTCTTGCCTCACAGCTCACCAGGCTTCAGACAGCTCGCTAAACCTGAGTGATGGAAATAGTCCTGGTGTTGAGGAGAGAACCCTGGAGGGGCAGCCGAAGGCCCACATGGTCCGTGAGGGAAGGAGCTGTTGCCCAGCCTCTGCTCACCGTTTCCTGCCCGGAGAATGGAACGCTTTATACCAGGGTTTCTCAACCTTGGCACAAGTGACATCTTGGGCCAGATAATTCTTTGTCATGGCGGCTGCCCTGTGTATTGTAGGATGTTTGGTAGCACCCCTGGCCTCTACCCACTGGGTGCCGGTAGCACCCTCCCCAGCAAACTCGAGTTTGACAACCAAAAATGTCTCTAGACTTTGCCAAATGTCCCTGGTGGGGGCGGAAATCACTCCTGATTGAGAATCATGGATTTATTCCAAATGTGAGGAAATAAAAGGAAAAGCAGACCCAGAATATTGCCTGTTTCCATGAGCTTGCCCCCTCTCCCACCCCACACGGACCCCACTTTGCCCAACTTTACTTGCCTGTACCCTCCAGCCCCACTGTAGCTGATCTCTTTTGTCTCCTGTGATTCCCCCGCCTATCCTTCACCTCTGAGCGTCCACACACGCAGATGCCCGCCGGCCTGCTGCCTGTTGGCCTCACTTATCCTGTACGTGCCGGCCACGCCTCCTCCGCCCTTTGCATTCTGTTTTGCACTCCGCAGTCTGTCCTCCCCTCCTTTGTGATGTTGCCCACACTGGGGCGGGGGAGTTCCTGGGGAGCAGAGATCCAATCACAGGCTCTCCATGTGCCCCGCACATGCCCAGCATACTGTGAGGTAGAAAGGACATGCTGATTACAGGAACTGTATGAAAGTCACATACTGTAGCTTTCCTCCTTTGACCGAGGTCTTGACCGCGCTCAGGTGTTGGGCTCTTATATCTGTCTCCCCGTCTCTCACCTTGTGGTCCACGGCTTTCCCTGGGGGGAGCCCGAGCAGGTTGGTGACAGCCTTATTACCTCATGTCTCCCTTCCTGCAGGCTCCCTGGCCATGAAGGTGTGCAGGAAGGACTCCTTAGCCATCAAACTCAGCAACAGGCCCTCCAAGCGAGAGCTGGAAGAAAAGAACATCCTTCCGAGGCAGACGGACGAGGAACGGCTGGAGCTGAGGCAGCAGATTGGCACCAAGCTCACCAGGTAGGACAGCGCAGCCCCCGGCTCCACGGATTTCTGTGCAAGAATTCAGCCTCCATGCTCAGATCTGTTTTGAGTGTCTCTGAAGAGCTCCCTGCAGAAAAAGTCCGTGGAAAATATTCCATTTCTTCTGCAGGGCTGCTTTTATGGTCCCCTCTTTTTCACTCATCAAAATCTTAGAAATTTCACTTGACTAAAGGTTCAAGCTGAGAGGAGGATTTCCAGGGAGAATAAGCACCTGTAGAACAATTCCCATCATCCAGTAGAATTGAGGACCTATGTACCTAGGCACTGTGGTTTGCTTAAGCACAAAGCAATCGAATAAATGGACTTTTCTGCTAGACTGTGCAACTAGAAGACATCAGTGGTGGGTAAAGATGCCTTATTACTGAGCTGGGACTCTTCTTGAGTGATTGCCCCTATGAGCAGGTATTACAGACACAGGCAAAGCAGTATGTCATATTAATACGTTAAACACTTACGTGTGTATTTATAACCTAGTGCATCTTTATGTGGTGTTAGCTAACATCTGTGACACACTTATTAGCCAGGCATTCTTCTAAACGTTTTATGTGTGTCCGTTCATTTAATCTCTGAGCTTCCCTATGAAATGGACATTTCTATGCCCATTTCACAGATGAGAACATGAGAGAGAACTTTAGTTACCTGCGTAATGTCAGACAGAATGGCTGTGGAGCTCTCCCTCTTGACCATATATGATGCTGCCTCTGTAATAATAGTCACCAGGTGAACCTTCACTTTGGCCCAAGCACCATGCTCACTGTTTGGATGCAGTGTTTAGAGGTCTCCCAGGGTTTCCTCCTGACTTTCCCACTTACTGCCCCATAGCCTCGTGTAAGTCACTTATTCTCTTCCCCTGTGTTTTCTGCCTTTATAAGATGGGGAGTTGTAAGAATTAAACAATATAAGTAAAGCACTTAAAACAGTCTCTCTCACTTCCTCTAGGGAGCCTGTCCCATGGTGGAAGAGCCTGACTTTAAACACTGTTCCTTCTGTTGAAGTGAAATCCCTGTCCATGCATTTCCCACGCATTGGTCATATTCTTTTCTTTCTGCAGCTACCTCACTCCTCTTAACACACATGCTTTCAGGTACTTGGAGGCAACGGTACTGGCTCCCCAAGTCTCCTTTCCTACACTGCATATAGCCACATTCTCTCTCTGGGTTTCAGTGGGTTGGGTGGATATAGTTCTAGGCTGCTTCCTGAACCAGCTTGTTCAATTTTACACCTGATACAAATAGGGCTTTCCACTGGGGGACTAGAAATAAGAGAAGAAGCAGATCCTTGACCCCAGCCCCTCTTCCCAAAAGTTCATTTCCATTATCCTTTGACTAGGACAAAGGAGCATGGGTATCCTTTATTCTAGTTCTTTCCCTCACTTCCATTTTCCCAGCTTTGTGACAGTATAAGCAGAGCCCCAGGATTGTGGGGAAAATTGAAAACTTCTCTGCAGATGTATGTGAGATGCCAACACATCTAGCTGCCCAAGGTGGCATCTTCTGTGGAGAGAGAGACAAAGATGGGAGATATGGAAAGCAGATGTGTGCAGCCGGCCACTCTGCTTGTCCACCACAGAGCACCATCCACCTGGAGGAAACTGACAAAGTGAAAAAGGCCACTGTCCCAGAACACGCTCCTGAAAAGACACAGCCCAGCTTCTCATGCCTGAATCCATAGCTGCATCCCACCACTATTAGCACGTGGCTATGGCAGTGACACAACCCAGAGGTGGGAAGAGACATAGGCCACCATGCACTGCAGGAAGTTCTCTGCATTTGAAGATTTATCCTTGGAAATCATCCCTTTCCCAACCTTTCCTCTTCTGACAGCACTTAAATCCTGCTCAGGATTCATAAAATCCACTGAGCGTTCACCATAGTGATGTCTATTCCCAACCCTCGTTCACCCTGGTCAGTAGAAGAAGACACACTGACCAGGGAGAGAAAGATGGAGGTAGAGAGGACAGCATTGGGCATATTCCAAGTGTTGAGCTCTGAGTCCCTTTCTTCTTTGTTCACTCTTTCAACTAGGGAGTTTATTTCCTTCTGGTATAATCCTTGGCATCTCAGCCAGATTACAGGAACTGGGCCTAAAGGAAAGGACATCAGGAGTGTTGAGCAGGTCAGCAGAGTTGTACAGAGTTCAGCAAATCTGGTGGGGAGGCCTAATCCACGTCTCAAGGTCTTCTTTAGAAAGGAATTTTAAGGACTATTCTCTTTTGGATGAGAACCCAGCTTGGTGCTTCCAGCCACTCATTTATCCTGAAGCCAGGGGAGAATGAAGGAGAAATCTGAGAACCGGAAGGTGACCATGGTAGAGAGAGAACTAATCTGAGGCCCAGAGCCTTGGCTTCTAGCTCTGGTTCTGAGGGTTCCCTAAGCAGATGTTTGCTCACTCTGGGTCTACATTTCCTAATCTGAGGGGATTAGATCATCTGATCACTTTGTGCAAACTGTGAACTTCATTATCATCAAAAGTAACTAAAAGTATGTAGGAATCTGTTGTAGAGTTGGCATTTCCGAAGCTACAAGGCTGCGGCTTTCTTTGGCTATTTGAGGTAGTAAGATGTACTGGAAATCTCAAGCTCTTTGAAAAGCCTACGGCCAAGTCTGCGGTCCTCATGGAGTGAGCAAGATAGAAAACATAATTTTAGTCTGACAGTTTTAATAGCATAAAAGAATAATGTAGCACTCCAAGGATAATCCCAAATTGGGGGAAGGGAGCAGAAACATCAAGTAAAATGATGTCAAGTACTAAGGGAGAGTTTCTACCTAAGAATGCAAAAATATTGTTCTTCCAAAAATGTTTTCTCATTGATGCTATTGGGCAGACTCTCCTAAACCTCGGTCATCAAGTCATCTGGATGCTTTGATAGTAAATAACTGTTTCAACCAACCGCCATTTGAGAGGTGAGGGCTCTGCCCTTGAGACATGAACGTTGTCAGCTGGGTGTGCATTTCTCTGCTCCTTGTGTATTACAGACTCAGGCCGGTTGCAGAGAACCAAGGGGTCAACACGTCCATCCGCTGGGGTGTCCGAGGGATGAAATAGTAGAACTTCGACTTAAATTTATTTTATGTCATTCTTTTTAAGTCGATTGTGTCTGTGTTATAATGCACATATATATCAATGCAGTAGTATCAGTACTTGTATATAACTTATAAATAGAGAAATGGCATGTGTGGGGATACATGCTTAAAAAATTAAATTGACGGAGTTCTCAAGAAGCTTCAAGCCCACAGGTCTGAGGGTCCCTTCTTAAGGCTGCGTGAGCAGGTCCTTTCTTCTCCAAGGACCTCTCTAGTCAGTGGAAATATAGAGACCTCAGGGCCATCCCTCACCCCTGCAAAGCCCCCAAATGCAGGATGCTGCTGCTTTCTCTCTGAGTCTCTTCTCTGGGCCCTTCAACCTGAACCCTAGGAGGTGGTCAGCCTGTGTGATCTTAGCTCTCCAATCCACTTTCAGCTCCCTTCATTTACCAAGCTTTTTACTCCCCTAAGATTAATATTCAACCCACATGACTCCATGTTATTTATTTGAAATACATCTTACTACCCCCTCCTCCCGCAAAAAAAAAAATTATTTAAAAAATTAGCCATGGAGACATACTTCTCAGTGTTCATAGTGAGGATGACCTCTTTCTTGATCAGTCAGGGGACAGCTGATATGGCCCTAAGCCACTTACTTTCCAGCTTGGGGCATTGATTGGTTGAAGAAATGACCCCCCACACACAACTAAAGGATGGCGCTCAAGACCATTGGGAATGGGGTTTTGAGGGACTAAATAGAAGTCTGATGCCTAAAGGAGTTGTTCTTTTGCTTCTGAAATATCCTTTAGAAAGTGAATCATCCTGTAAGTCACTAAGACTACTTATTTTTTTAAAAAGGAGCTAAGACCCTGAAACGTGATCTGTTCTTGGTTACTCAACAGCCAGTGCGCCTAAGCCTTCTCTTGGGAACAGCCAGCCTTTCAGACCCAGCTGTCCAGTCCTCTCCAACTGAGGTCCCCTCCCTCAGTCCCCTCCAATACCTTCTTTAAGGTTTGGATCAGACAGGGGGAGAGAAAGCCTGGGAAGGACAATAAAATGGGAGGTGCCTTGCAGTATACGTAGGAGTATATAATCTAAATTAAGCTCAGGAATAAATAAGGATTCGGGCAATCTGCCTCCGTGACATACTTGTTCCCCTAAAATATCTCTTCACCCTTAAGATATCCATGTCCCGCTCAGGGGTGAACTGTCATCTTTTTTTAAAATTTATTTCTATTATTTTATTTTTTATACAGCAGGTTGTCATCATCTTTTTTGCAATCATGGTTGACCACGATGTTTTCAGCCTCCCTCTGAGCTGGAGCAGGCATAGCCCTGTCTTAAAATGGGAAGCATCCCTACGGGGAAACTCTTTGGAAACCATGCTGGGTTTTGGAAAGGATGTTTCTCCTTGTGATGTCCTTTTCCTAGACCAGACATAGCTGGTGATTCAGGCCACTCACTTATGATTCTTGCCAACAATCAAAGGAGATGCTGACTTAATTTCAGCTGCTGGGAGTATTCGTTTTCTAGGGCTACCATAACAAAGTACCACAAACTGAGTGGCTTCCACAACAAAAATGTATGGTGTCACAGTTCTGGAGCCTGGAAGTCTGAAATCAAGGTGTCGGCAGGGTTGGTTCCTTCTAAGGGCAGTGAGGGAGAATCTGTTCCAGGCCCCTCCCCTTCCTGGTGGTTCACTGACAGTCTTTGCCTTCATCTTCTCCCGGCGTGTGTATCTCTGTGTCCAAATTTCCCCTTTTTATAAGGAAACCAGTCATCTTAGATTAAGGTGCAGCCCTCATCCCCTTGTTTTAACTTGATGACCTCTGTAAAGACCCTATCTCCAAATAAGGTCACACTCTGAGATGCTGGGGGTTAGGACTTCGACATTTGTATTTTGGGGGGATACAATTCAGCCCATACCTTTTGGGGAAGCATAAAGTGGGTCTA